GGCTCCTGGATGGAGGAAGGGATTGCTGCCAGGCATCCAGGAGTGGTTTCCTCATCCGACACCATACTCTGTAGAACACACTGGTCAGCGCGATTGGTCTTTCGGCCTTCTCGTTTTTGGCTAGCATAACGACCAGGCTCATAGTGAGCTGGGTGGGGAGTTCGGCTTTTGCCTCCATTGCTTGGAGAATGCCCAGTAGTGGTTGTAGGGCCTGCTTGGGTGCTGTTCTGAGCAGCTGAGTTGTGATGGCATCCGGCCCACAGGCCTTGTCTGGGAGTTTCTTCAAAGTTTTGCTAAATTGCTCGTAGGTGAGTGGAGGTAGTTGGGCTGCCTGCTGCTTGGCTTCTTCTTGCAAGGGTAGTCGTGTCATTGGCTGGTCGTCCCGGGTAGGTTTCCATAGAGCATGCCATGCATTCATCCTGTGTCTCATGCGATCAGCCATAGGGATATCGCGGTAGGGTCGCTGCCATGAAAGTTCAGCAGGGATCGGAAGAGTCCCTTGAGGCCCTTGGTTTCACCTTGCCGTATCCACTCTGCATATTGGAGGCAGGACTCTTCTCGACTTTGTTGTTGCGCTTCCTCAAGCTGATGTTGGACGGTTTGTTGCATCAACTCGAAAGTGCGGTCATCGCGATATTGCTGCCAGTGCTGCTGGGTGTCCAGGAACTGTGCCCAGGTCTGATCTCCCAGCCAGTGGTGCTGTACCTGCTGGAGTGCCTTGTTGAGCCCTTTGATAGCTCCTGGGGCTTTGGCTGGTTGGTTTTGGATGAGGTTGAGCTGGCCTGGATTTGTTCCCAGTATGCTGCTTTGCCTTTTTTCCACATGCCACCTGCTTTCGCCGGAACCAAGGGCTGGTGCTGTGTGGTCAAATTGGATGCTCGTCCTTGTGGTGCCCACGGGTGCTGTTGGAGTAGGTACTGCTCAGTGACCGAAACCCAATCAGCAAGACCCCTTGCACTTTGGCTCTCGTACAAGAGGAGGTCTTCGACCTGGGTGACGTAGGTGCTCCATGCTCGAAACCCAATGTCAGGTATGTTGGGCAATGGTGGAAATGTCCTGAGCTGGTGGTACAGCCGGAAGTCATCCTCCAACTCCAAGGCATATGTGACCAGGCAGTGGGGTCGCCAGGGTACCGCCCAGGCGGCCAGTGTCTGGTGCATGATGGCATAGTCCACCGTGTTTCCATTGAGCATGGTGGCATTGGGGGCGAGGATTTGCCAGTGGAACTTGGAACTGAGCACGGTGCATTGGAAATGCTCTGGATGATTGTTCCAGTCCCCCACCAGGATGAATGGCCTTGTCGTGGCTTGGATGAGTGCCAGAATGCGTGCTAGGATCTGTGAGTTGGTGTTGCCCTGAATCGTTTCATTGGTTTTGAAGTAGACAGCCACCACCAGTATGGCTCTGGCTTTTGCTTCCCACAGAAAGGCCTGGTACCTCAAAGGAATCAAGCCTGGTCAGTCCATGGGCGGTGTCATAGATGATCAGGATGCCTCCATGGGTGCCATCATTGGTGCTGTTGGCATGTGCTGGATAGCCAAAGGCGTGCCTTCCACGGACTTCAAAGTATTGGCACATCGACTGGTGTTTTTGCTGGTCCAGGTGCGTTTCCACCATCACATAGATCTCATTGTCTCTCGTCCAGTACCAGTCCAGAGTACTCTTCCCAAAGGCCGTGAGGTTGCCCACGTTCAACCTCATGTGTTCCTGTGTGAATCTGGCTTTTTTGGGCGGTGTGCCGTGGAGTGGTGGATCGTAGTCTGGGCTCTCCGGTGGTGGTAGTGCCCGTGCGATTTGACGCGGTGTGATCAGGGCTGAGGTCTGGATGCCCCAGACCTGCACAATCTGGCCCGCAATTTGTGGTGTCAGGAATGGCAGGACCTTGGGTGTGGCTCCACCGTCCGCAATCCACATCAGGTCTTTATACACCAGAATGGTGTAGTAATGCCCGGTTTCATGGGTTGGGCCTCGATGGCAAATGTATGCCATGGGAATGTATTCGGCACTGGCTCTTGTGCTTTGCCTTCGATTGATGTGGCTGACCTGGACCATCTTGTCGTCACTGAGATACTGCCCTAGGCCTTGGTTGGCCCAACAGTTCATCAGCTCTTGCCATGTGATCTCATCGAGGTACTCATCTGGGTAGTCCACGATGAGGGGCAGTTGGATGTGTTCCGTGACATACCCGCCTTCTTTGATCTCGGTGTGGCGGTACTGCATCACTCTGGTTTGTGAGAATAAAAAGCGAATGGACAAAGTGTGCAGCGTCTCCCTCCATGTTGAGGTTGTGTTTCTGCCATAAGTGGTGCAGTCCAGGTAGTCGTTGGATATCTACTGGTTCAGAGAGTTCCAAAGGTGTTTGGACTGCATCTTTGATGACTCCCCATGGGTCTCGGTTGAACTCCGCTAGATAGGCGCACATCCAGCAGAAAGCCCTCCACGGGGCATTTGCAAAACATCTAGCGCTGGGATTTCCCACCACCATGCTCAAGTTCTGGAGGAGCAAGTCAGTGGTGGAGGCATAGTAGTGTGAGCTCATGCTGGGTCGAGTCCAGTCACTATCGACAGAGGAGCTTGGATGATCCGGCGCCCCTCCAGTGAGCTTCAGTCGTTGCCCATGTGGGGCGTCGAGGGCGCTCGGGCGGTGCTCAGAAAACGGAAATGTCCTGTGTTGTTGACATGTCCCGTTGTGGTGTTGCTGTTCCCTGCAACTTGTCTTGTCCCCATGTTGTTTGGCCCACTGCCATTGGGTGAGTGCTCGTCCTGAAAGGCCTGTGTTTTTGCCCCAACACTGGTCCTATCAGAGTGATACGTATCAGCTTCTGAGCCTGAGGCAGCACGGCAATCCCATCCGGTTTGTAGTGAGCCCCAAAACTGCTGTGTACCAGTTGTCGTTTGTGAAATGTCCCCTTCACAGGTGACAATGGTGGCTTTCCCTGTGGAGCCGTCATAGGTTAGGCACCTCGTTTGTGGTGGTGCATTAGAAACCATGGCTCTTCCTCAAAACTGGTGTCCATTTCGAACGGTGTTCCCCTGTTTGACTCTTCTGTTCCATCACATGACCATGTGTCATCTTCCTGTAACGGAAAAGTCCACCCCTTCATCATGGCTGTGCTGTCCCTGTTACCCACAATGTCCTGGTGGTGGTGCAGCAATGCCATCTGTTTTCCTGCGCTTCGTGGGATCATCTGGGTCCAGGTTTGGCCGCTTGAGGAGGCCATGCAACTGGCTCTTCTGCTCTTCTGTGAGCGAGATGCCCAGACTGTGTACAAAGGATTGGACGGCCATGGGGATTTGCTCAGGTTCCCCTGAGCCTGTTGCCAGTTCAGCTGGTGCTGGAGTCTGGTTGATGGCCTTCATGTAGTCTTGTGAGAGCTGATGCAAAGCCTTTTGACCATCAGCCAGTTTGCTCTGGAGGTCTTGCATGTCAGTAAGCAGTGATGCATATTGGGCCTTAACGCCATCAATTTTCTCCTGCAACTGGTTCTTGCGGATGGACATAGCTTTCAACTCCGTCACTTGTCCTTTGAGCTTTGTGGCAATCTCACGTTCTGCGCAGGGTTCTGGAGCCGTGAGCTTGGCGACGATCTGTTGGACTTGTGGTGGTAGCGCATCCATGTGGGTCTTCAGGATGTCTGTCAACTCGGGTTCCTCGGGTTTGCTCGGGCCAATGCCAAGAGCCTGAAGCTTGGCTTGGGTGTCCTCTGGGAGGACTGACCAGCTGTTAGTGAGCAGGTCTGTGGCCTCTTGTTGCATCTTGGTTTTCTTGAGGGGTCTGAACTTCGTAAGGCCTGGTGGAGTGTCCAACCATTGCTGGTTGGGTGTGGTCCTGGAGGCAGGTCGTCCATACCCTTTGCCTTTCCCTGCACCAGCTGCTGGATTGGGCCACCATGCGCCGCATCTGCGGCATTTGGTGCCTGTCTTCACTCGATCGGTCCAAATCCAGTTGTTGCAGCCATGCTTTGAACAGGTCATGTAGGCTCGACCCCATTGAGATGTCATAGTGCCTGATAGAGATCTGCTATGTGGCCTAGTGATAGGCAAACAGGTGGGCAGACTGGGTGGCACCGAACGTGATCAGGCCTGTGGTCTCCTCAGTGACAAGGGCCAATCACCCGGGAAATCACGAGGATGTAGCCAGGCGAGAAACTGCCGGTCACCGTAGAGCTCAGCAGGGGTGTGCAAGGTGAGGTCGGGAATTGTGAGCAAAGAATGTCTTCTAATTGAACTTCGCGATGGGCCTTGCTTGTCCTCAAAGTCCCGAACTATGTTCGAATGGGGCGTCCACACTAGCCTGTCTTGGTTGGCTGCAGGCTTGAGCAGCTTCACGGCTTGAGCCATGTATGTATGTATGTATGTATGTATGTATGTATGTTTGTTTGTTTGTTGGTACGTACGTACGTACGGTTGTATGTATGTATGCCTGTATGTACGTACTGTCCTGTCCTGTCCTGTACTGTACTGTATGTATGTATGCATGCTTCTGGCACGCGTGCGTGCCCCAGGGAGTTGCCGGGGGCCTTTGCGTACCCGCTTTTTAAACTAGAGCGGTTCTTATGTCTCGGCCGTAAACTGGAAGTCTGGAAGCAGAGTTCGTTGGCAGACTTGTTTGAAGGTTCTCTTTTCATTTTCACTTACCGCAATGAGAGCTTCCGTCGTCTTGCTACTTAGAACCGGGGGCCTTCCATCGTTTTGCCTAGTTTACCTATCCTACAACAGGAGGTTTTACATTTTTGCCGTCCCTACCTACCTACCTACTAAGAGCGATTCATCCGTCTCACTCGCACTTTGGAACTATATATAATTGTAATTTGCCCCGCTCGCAGTTTGGAACTACCTCTGCTAGAGCGGTTCACTTGTCTCGCGCACAGAGGGAGCGATTCATTTGTCTCGCTCACAGTCTGGAACCTCCATTAGATACATTCTTATCTCGAGCGTGTCTCTCTTTGTGATCAGGTTATATACGTGAGTGTAGCACTTTGAGCGGCTGAGGTTGCAACGAGTTGCTCAGCACACCAATGAGACCTATCTTGCGCATGTTGCTGCCATCAAATGACCTGAGTCACGGGTTGGCATGGCACTTCAATCACCTAGGTTCAACCCCAAAGGCTCCAAAAAGAAATCAAGGCAAGACAACAAAGCAAATGCCAGCACCGCTGCGCTTTTTATAATGTCACTTGAGCCCAGTTACAATCATTTGCGAACAAAATGAAAGGGTTTTTGCATTTGAGTTTCTCTGGGTCATTTTTCGGGCCAGTGGATCTTGATAGGTTCCATCATGCCACGCAGGTACACATATCTTGGCCATTCCCGTTGAACCAAGTTACTTGGTTGCATTGTATGCATTAAAATTGCCTGCACTCAAACGACTCTAGTAACTAGCTGACCACGGGCTACTTCCTCCCTGTGAAGGGTTCACCTTTGTGAGCCGCTGCGTACACATATTTAGCACTAAGCTTACTGGAGACACTTAGTTTGACTGCGATTCGTCTGAATGCAATTGTCACAGCATGCAGTACGCACCACTTGTCCATGTAATTCTAGTGCGCACCATTGCTACTAGGGTGGAGGCCATCGCTAGGTTGGAGGGCTATTTCATTTCATTCCGGTGTGGACAAAGGAAGTCCACCAAGGACGCCGATCCGTGCTCGGACCGCGCCAGGAGCGTCGAGCGTGGTGAACTAGAGGCAGCACAGCTTCCATTTACACCACAACATGAGTGCGCTGCCTCGGGGTTGGATTCAGGCTTGGCAAGGCACAGTGAGTGTGAAGCGGGGAGCATGCTGATGATGTTCATAGCAAATCAAAGTGAGCTGGGCAACGACACAATGTTTGGATTGACGGCTGTTGGTTGGGCAAGAATGACGTTGGTTGGCATGCGTCGAAGTTCTCTGTCAGCCGGAGCACAGTCGGCAACCATTGCTGTTGATGAGCAGGAATAGGCAATGGTGTTTTATGCTGCAATGGTGAATGCTTTCGTGCCCATTCAGAAGGACAAAACAATGCACATGTTTGAGGAATCGCCCATCACCACGGACGCAAAAAGCCTTGCTCGACAGCACTCTGTCAGTGCTCTGATGGTGAAAACATTGAGCAAGATGAAAATTGTACGGACGCATGTAAGGATGAAGAGCTTTTAAAAAAAAGTGGAAGCTCGTATGAGGAGGTCTTGATGGAAGAAATTGAATTCAAGAGCTGCACCACATGCCTGTTCATCTCAACCGAATGGTTTCATGCCACTTCCACGCCAATTCAGCTGCTCGTCGTCGTGAGCATTTGCGGCTGAATTTGCTGCCAGTCACTGAAACAATCTTGGAGGAACAGGTGAAGCAGCGGAATCGCTCTCTCAATGCCCTCTTCATGTTGATCGTTGAGATTCAGAAACAAACCAAGTTGGTTGAGAGCCAACGTGACCCGACATCAGTCAGTGAAAACCAAAAAACCGACAGCGCAGATGGTTCGCGAATGGAGAGCAAACGGCAATCTCAGTTGAAGCTGTAACCATTCAAAAGAACCGTGAGCACCTGTGAAGACCGGCTGTGAAGAGCATGACAGAAAGGAACCCAAATCACCCTTTTTTCCCATTTCGAGCTCTAGAGCCATTTTCCCCCAAACAGTGTGGACACACTTAGGGGTTCTTACGGTTGGTGTAAAGCAGCTGATGCTTAGATCGCTGAAGCGCGCGGGCGTGCGCGGCTACTTCGCTGCTATTTACAGTACAGTCATGCCTCTCGAAATCGTCGACATGCATTTCGACTGCGCAGGCTCGCGAAATCTGGGTGCCCGCGGCGAGTGCTTGTCGCGACTGCGCTCTCGTTGTGGTGCCGCGCGCATTTTCGCACATGGTGGTCACTTTGCGTGGCAGGCGAAAGTGAAACCTCGTGCTTTGGTGCTCCAAAGTCGACTTTTCGTGACAGGCACCGCACTTGGTGAACCTCGAAGTGCAGATTTCGTTGCAGGCACAGCACTTTGTGAACCTCGAAGTGCAGATGTCGTGGCAGGCACAGCGCTTTGTGACGCAGCTTTTTTCAAGGGCGCAGCACTTTGTGCTCTCAAACCCTCACTCTCACTCACGCTCACTCTCACTCTCCCTCTCACTCACACTCACCCACACTCACCCTCACTCGCACTCACACTCACACTCAGTCACTCTCCACACCCACTCACACTCACACTCTCACTCCCACTCTCACTCTCACTTACGCTCACAATCACACCATGCCCGGAAAAATGTGCGCTTGCTGTGTGCTGTATTTTGACATTTCGGACCTGAACTTTTACTTCGTCCCCCTTGGTGCTCGCGGGTGCTTCACCTCCTCCTACTACTCCCTCCGGGGTCAGGCATACCCTTCTACCACCTCCTACTACTCTATCTGGGTTCAAGCCTCACCTGCTACTTCCTACTACTTCGTGCTCGCGGGTGCTCTTCTCTCTGCTTCCGACCCCCCTGCGCGCAACCCTTTACAGTACCCGAAAGTGCGTTTGATATACACTCTGCACTGTTTGGGGTCTCTTGCCGGGATAATTGAGCTTCCACTCAACTGAATACTGTGACAGCATGCAGTACATGCATGTACATGTCACATGTCCAGTTCATTCTGTTCCCTCGTGGCTGTTCGGGCCCAGTCAAGTAGGTCTACGACCCTTTAGAACTTCGAGCGCTTCTACAACCAGAGCTCGGGCATGTGCAGCCTCCTCCGAAGCACAGACTTAGCTAAAAGTTGAGCACAAGGGCTTTTCCCAAGACAGCTTGATCTGGCAGCGAACTGCTCGAGCAGGAGGTCGAGCAGTGAAGCTTTAGTCAAACTGTTCGTAATATTTCAAGCCTCACTCAACAAGAACTCGACCTCCAGTTTCCCGGATTGGGGAATTGCTGCCAGGTTTTGGCAGGACGGAGGGTTCAGAGTTTATGTTCTGGAAATAGTCACTTAGCTGTCTGCTTTCCGCTTCGTCAACTTTCCAGGCTCGGAGTTGGCTGCTTGAGGTTTGTCTCAACTTGACTGCTTCTAGCCACTACTAGCCCCTCACAGCCGTCCGGCTCAAGCAAAAGGAGTGAACTGGCGCCGCACGAGTCCATACAGCCAGCGACGTAGAAACATTGCCATGACTTCGCATTGCAAACCAAATTGCATTGACTAAAGTGCAGTAAGGGCCCCTTTAATCAGGCCCCCCGAAAGTTAAAACGAGGACAAAACCTTCTTCTTGTCTTTTCTTTTCCTCTCTTGTTGGTGACATTCACAAATGCGAGTCCTTGTGTGAGGTGTGACTGGGCACCCGACACGACTTGCAGCACTTCTTCTTCAACCTGACATGTAGACTTCGCAAAGGACTCGTGTGACCTCAATGACTCGGCGTGCAGTGCTCAAGAAAAATAAAGTACATTATACAAAGGTTCCTGCAAAAAAACTGTAGAACGAATTCGAACAAAAGTGGGACGCCATGCGAAGGGCCTTGTTCGAGGGTGAGGAGTGGACAGGTTTGGCCACAGGTTCGGGACGGTCAATCATATGGTGTGTGTGTGTGTGCAGTGTGTGTGTGTGAGGCCTCTTTACGGAAAGGGGCCTTGTGGAGGCGTGTGCTGGATTGAGGCCCTGTCAAAGGTCACAAATGGATGGTCACAGGTGCTCTTGTCGTTTCCCGGTACTTTCATCGCGGTCGCATTTGAAGTTCTTGCGTGAGAACTGCAGTTGGAAGAGTTTCAAAGCACTGCCACGGTTGCGTCACATTGGCGCTGCGTTTGTTAGTCTCAAAGGAAAAACGTCAGAAGTCTCTGTAATTGTTCATGGGGATGAGTGATGAGTGCAGCACAGGCGAAGCGATTGTTCAAAGCGCGGAGTGAAAGGGTTTCTATTGGGCTTGCGCTCGGGCTGAGGCCAACATGATCTGTGCATTTTGACCCTTGTGTGGACACAAACACTTGCACTGTGGCCTTTGCTTGCAGAACTGGCTTTTGTGCTGGCAAGCGGAAACCCCAATGCTTACATGCTCCCACGCTTTTATCACAGACAAACGATCTGTTCCAGCACAAACTTCCCAATAGACTTAACATCCCTCAGACTTAAACCCTTTGTCCCCCAAAAAAAGGGCGACAAGCCTAGGCTACTAGCGTAGGTCAACAGGATTCGTTCGTGGGCCCGACAGTGGAGAAAACCGTTCAACTGGTCCACTGCAGCAGGGCAGCAAGATATGGACTTGACACCTACGTCGCTCCCCAAAATAGCCTCGGACCTAATAGCGATGACCTCCAACCTACTGGCGATGACCTCCAACCTCGTACCACTGATAGGTCTCATACACTACAATGTCCCTGCGATGCTCTGGCAAATGCTTTTGCGACGCTTCGCAGCAGAACTCGGCAGTGCCACGCTGAAATTCCCTTTTCGACTACCCACCCTCTCTCTCTCTCTCTCCTCTTCGACTGCCCCCTCCTACGGTTTTAACCCTTCGGCATTCATTTCTCATATCTCCACGGCACACTTCCAGCAACCAACTCAGGTGATTGGACCCTGGTGCTTCTATTTTGTTGCGTCAATTTGCCGTCGAAAAAGCCGTCAAAACGACTTCCAAAACACTGCTAATCATATAGAACTTACCATGTTTTCCCTGATACAACTTGAGGCCAGCGCGGTAAACAAAAACTCGGGCAATCGGTTGCAAAAGTGTGTCAGTGCGCAATTCTTGCTCAAAAGAATCAACAATACAATGCTTAAACCGCAACGGCCAGCTTAACGCTATCTCATCTGTGCAACGGGGTACAGTACTACTTAAAAACCAATGCATCCCCCTTCAACCATAAACAAGGAGAAACTGCACGAACCCCAAGAAAATCCAAGGATGGATGGATGTTGCAAAATGCATGTTCAGGCATTTGCGATCATCTGGCTGTCCGCAGCTCATTATCCGTCTAGCCATTCAATAGGTGGGCACAGCTGGTGAGAAGTTAACCATCGCACGGGGACAGGGCCTCTGAATCATTCATCAACACAATTCAAAACTCAAAGACTGGGTTCTGGGCTTCATGTTTGTGTTGATCCACACTCCCGTGTACTCTCGTTCTCTTTTCAGAACTTCCTTGTGAGGAATATCGTCCTGCAAAAATGTTCAGCTGCAACGACACCAAATGCCAATGAATCTGAATTTGTGTTGTCACATCCTCGTGGTTCCCCCATGTCAAAAAATCGATGGGGGTGCCATTGAGCCTAAGGACAGGGCGAAATCTGTCGTGCCGTGGCTGGCAACTGGGGAGCGAGCATTTTCATCATGCCGACGCCCATGTCAATAGAAGATAGCAAATATGGCGCCAAGAAATCCCCTGTGAGCATGCCTCGGTGAATGACCCATGTTCCTTCCCAAAGTTCCATTCGCCACTGTCTCAGAGTGCAATACTTATGGTTTGTCCGCCACATCTCCGCTCCAACTCAAGAGCTTTCTCCTGACACTTTAACGAATCAAACATTCTTACATCGAAAGGCCCCGGCCTGGATGAGGGTACGCAAACTAGGAAAATTGTCCAAAACATAGACATCCGTGATCTGTACCTGTTTGCTCGGCTGACACACTTCTAAAATATTGGCACCAGCATACACCCCAAACTTAAGTTTCAAGTTGTCGGATTTCAGATCAGAAACGCGGCCCATCTAGTGGACAAGGCCCGAAGCAAGGCGGAGACAAGGAAAAACAACGTAGGGCAAAGCAAGGCAACAAAACCTGGACAAGGCCCGCGTGGAAAAGGGAATGGCCGATCATTCACGGCGTGATTCGTCATTTCACTTCAAAAACCATAAACCATTTGGAGAACTACACGTAAGACCTTGGAGCACTATCCGAAGAGCACAAGCGGCTTTTGAGGATCCACCTGGAGCGTCATGATTTCCGCTGCGAGAAACTCCGCTCAAGTGGCCTCTGTTGAGCATGCGGGCCACGCCGCGGGAGCAGTCACCTTGTTGCAATCCGAAAATGGCTGCATGTTGGAAGCCCTTGCCTCTGCGCCATTTCATGTTCCAATGCGCCCAAGGGTTCAGCAAGGCAGCGAAGTTGATGCACCCATCCTACAGCAAAATACGAAGGCACCGACAATCCAACAAACGCATCAAACACAGCTGAGGCTAGCTCCTCCCACAAGTGCGCGCAGTCTTTGGCACACCCTCCGGCTATCTAATCTCTGTAGCCACAAGTCAGCATTGCAATCAAAGGCCCCGCTGGTCTGATTAAGTTTAACCTTTCAAGATGGATGCGCCTATGCGTTCATAACACGGTTCCTCTCCTCCCTGCTTTTGCCAGTCGTCTCAGAAAGATAATGAACCCCCCAATCTGGATTCCGTTTTGCAATGCGGACACACAACAAATCTCACAATATCTTCCTGCTTGGTGGCCTGCACAACCGGGTCTTTTCAAATGGTCACACGTTTTCGTGCGCCACACAAAGGAGAACACGTTCTCCCTGACATGGCTGTTGGGGCCAGCATTCGTGTTGGAAGCCAAGTTCTTTGGGATCATGACCCAAAAAATCAATCTGCAAATCGTTTACAATAATCAAACACTGCACAGCGCTGAATTTCACCTCATAAACATCAATAGCGTCAACTCTTTCCTCGCGCGCCGGGCCATGACACCCAGACCATCAGCCTTCTAACAACAGAAAACATTTTAGAAACCAAACCTTATTTTCCCCCGCTTTTGACTGAAGTGCGTGAGCCAGGGCCCGCACCTTCGAACCAAACGCTTGGCTTGCTGCAGCAGATCCAGGACGTTCTGACGCAGCAGGATGCACAGCTGCAGCAACAGCAACGACGACAACAACAACAACAACATGTGAGTCCAAAACCCCGCTAAAATCGGACCTTGAAATAGTTGATAACCATTTCTTATCTGTAAAAGTGTCAGGCATGGGACTTCATGGGTTCAAAACGCTCTGAGTGCGTTGAAAATCGCCCGGAGCATCCAAGGCCAACATGGTTTTGAACTCTGGCGGTCAGTGAGCTTGGGGGTCAACCCTGATGTGGTGATTTTGGCTCAGATGTCTGTGTGTGTGCCCCTTGTAGTCACAGGGATTCGTTTGAATTTTGAAGGAACGACACGCACAAATCTTGAAGTGTGAAGGGTTGAAACGCACAAATCTTCAAGTGTTTCACGAAACAAGGTTTTTTGGGGGACATGGCGTGCGTTCAGGGACCATGTCCAACGAAGCTACCTGACGCACGGGATATGAGAGCTGATCACTCTCACGTACCTGCAATTTTCCACTGCCTTTCAACTTTTAAGCCTTCCGCTACTCACTCAGCAGATGCGCACGATACGTCGTCACCCTGTCGATTCGCTTCCGGCTTACGCTTTGGGCCACGTTTCCTTTTGAAGACCTCCAGGATCCAGGGATTCGTACATGTACTCTTAGGAAATGGTACCCTAGGCCGGCGTGTGGCACCGCTGTCAGTCAGTACGCATATCCATAAGCGTGTGTCGCTTCCTGTTTCAAAGGACATACACAAAAAACAATTTAAAGGCAGGGGGATGCCGGGATCTCCATGGTCGGCATCCAACGAAGACACCAAGGACTTCCTGTGACATGAGTCAGGGACGCCTGACTCACGTACCTGCATTTCTTCAACTTTCTCCGTCTCACCCTTGTTAAACAATACAGTTGAAGCGGACCTCCTCCACCTTTCCGTTTGTAGTTTGCAGCTGGTGTCGTATTCACTAAAGTGGGACTTCAACCACGAACTCAACTCTTGCGAGCCCCAAGCTAAGTGTGTGCTGCCACAGAGTCCCACTGCAGGCTGTGGTGTGATCCCCATCGAAGGGCTCAGCATGTGCATAAACCCACTTTGTTGGGGGATCCCTTCTGATTGCGCCTTTCCTTCCCGTGAACTTCAGTTGCAACCCCACAGGCTTACGGAACTGCACGAGATTGTAGGTTGAGCGCCGCAGGGTTTACCGGGATTGAATGCCGCAGGGCCCACTGACTTACCTGCGCATGTGAGAGTATGGCCGACCGTGACGTGAGGGAAGTGAGTGACGTGAAGGGAGTGAGAAACGTGAGGCCTTTAGGTATCAGGTGAAGCTTTAGTCAAGGGAGCGCCGTATACAGCGAAACGTGACATCAGAAAATGAAAAACGTGACTGGGTTTCCTCTTTTCGTCCGTTTGTTTTTTTTTCCTGCTGTTGCTTTTCGTTTTCTTGAGGCCTTTCTTTAGGTTCCAGGTGCCTTTCAGTCAAGGGAGCGCCGGTTACGGCTTTGCTTGAGCGCCGGTGACGGCAATGCCTTCGGGCCACCCCAACCCACCCTCCCCCTACCTCCTTGCACCTAATCCGTTGCTATCCCACCTGCTATCTAGGGTAACAGAAGGAAATCGCACTCAACACACTTGTGTGTTGGTGCCTTTCCTTCTGTATCTCCTGTCCTAGTCCTACCCACCCGTGTGGTCTAAGACCACAGTCCCGCTCGCTAACTATAATCAGTAACTAGAAGGTTTCATAACTAGTGGGCCTCGTCACTACACCTACCTTTCTCTCTTGCCCTCTTCGGTTTCTCTTTCTGTCTTTCTTTCCTTTCTCTCTAAGGCTTGTTAGGTGGCTATTAAAGCGGCGCATTGAGCTTGTCGGTTTCCGGACAGAGATGTGTGGTCCTCTACACCTATCTTTCCTTCTTGCCTTCTTCCTCGTTCTCTTTCTGTCTTTCTTTCCCTTCCTAAGGCTTGTTAGGTGGCTATTTAAGTGCTCGGGAGCCTGGACCATCCACATTTCGTTTTTCCACGGAAACCCTTCAGAGCGCCGGACCACGGCTCTGTGTGTGTGTGTGTCGCTTCCCGTTTCAAAGGACATACACCAAAAAAAACTGATAGAACCCACGAACCCGAATGCAGTCACTTTGTATAGAAGCGTAGAACTCAAAGCGTTCTTGTTTTCGGAGATGACAGAGTGTCAAGCAAGAGTGTCCAGCAAGAGTGTCAAGAGAAAGTGTCAATAAAGACTGTCTAGCAAAGAGTGTCAAGAAAGAGTGTCAAGCAAGAGTGTCGTG